GACCAGAGTGAACCTTCCCAGACTCCACCACTGGGTGCACTAACTCATCAAGTTGCTTGATGCTCACCTAGTGGGGAGTATGCATACTGTGAAAGCTCTGCCCAGCGGAGCTTTTCTCCCCATCTTTTTTGGGGTACTCCTCCTCACATCATCCAGAAGAGGGAGGCCACAGCACAAGATCATAATGGCACCCAGGTATTTATAGAAATTTGACTCCTTAAAATAGGGCATGGGAATAAGGCAAAGGAAACTCTCAGAAGCATGATTGTGGGAATGGACCATGGTTGGGACCCATACATTATGCTAGACAGAAGAGTTCGTAAGACTGGTTCTGGGGCTCTCTGACCAAAGCAGTTAGGGTATAACTCCAACGGCACACCCAGGCAAGTCCCTAAGGGCTAGGCAGCCCTTTTCAAACCTGGCTCTGAAAATGGTTCACTGGAGGCTTAGCAGCAGGATATGATAAAATAAACAATTTATAAATTATCAAGGGCTCATGAGGGAGGGGGGAGCAGAGAGGGAGGGGGGAAAATGAGGACCGGATGCTGGGGGCTTAAGCGGAGAGCAAATGTGAGGGCAATGAATGTACAAATGTGCTTTCCACAATTGATGTATGTATGGGTTGTGATGAGTCGTATCAGCCCCTAATAAAATGATTTTTAAAAGTTGATATTGAGATTTTCACAGCTTCTGCAAAATTTGCATAAATTCCACACTCTAATGCACATTGTAGAACAAAAACACAGCTTGAGTACAGAATAGCTTGGAAATTTGGTTTGCACACAGACCCATGGTTGTTTTGGATATGCAAGGCTATAGGAAAGGCCATCTTTGTCATCAGTGATAATGAGCTGTGGTGTTATGAGAGCTGTGGTGTTATGAAGTGCCGGCCAGTTGGTTCTGGCTCAGAGCTACTCATGCAACAGAATGAAACACTGCTGCTCTGGAGTCTTCCTCACAATAGTTGCTGTTTGAGCCCATTTTCCCAGCCATTATGTCAACCTATGCCATTGAAGGTCTTCCTTTTTTAATTTGGCCCTGGTGGTGTAGCCACCCGGCTTAACATGAGGAATTCCATTTTGTTTCAAACTGCCTTTAATCCCTGCTAGCATTAGCATCCCTTCGCCTTCTCCCTCTCCAGACAAGACCTTGACCCTTCTGAAATGTCTCCAAACTCTGTCTGCACAATTAGCAAGAAATGTACATTATCTTGTAAGACCTTGAATTAGTAGCTGCAGCTGTGCTGTTCCCTCCAATTCCGTTACCCTGACAACCTGATAAGAATGCATAAGCTAGCATAGCCCTCCCTTGAGCCAGCCCACTATTTTGAACTATAAAAATTCTAGAATTTCTTTGTTCTGGGTCAAGAGGTGTCCAGGCACTAGCTTATTCTTGATCCAGCTGTTTAATAAAGGCTTTAATTATTAATAAAGTGGTGTGGTTGATTTGTCCATTTGTCTCAGTGGCATTTTTAGGAAAGGAGGTGTTACCTGGAAGACCAGCAATTTAAATGCACTAGGTGTTCCACTGGTTGATATGTGGAGCAAATCATCAGAGAAGCTGGATTATATGAAGAAGTGCAGATTGAGTCAAGAGTGGAGAAAGGTTTATGATAAATAAGCTGCCATATGCAGATGATACATCCTTGCTTGCTGAAAGTGAGGAGGCCTGGATACACTTGCTGATGAAGACCAAGGATTGCAGCCTTCTGCATAGATTATAAATCAATGAAAAGAATGAAATCCTCACAACTGGACTAACAGGTAACAATGATAAATGAGAGGAAATTGAAGTCAAGGATTTTTGCCTTGCTTATATCCACAATCAATGCTCATGGAAGCAGCAGTCAGAGATCAAATGACCCCTTGCATTGAATACATCTGCCACCCAAAACATAATGAGAATGTTGAAAAGCAGGGATGTAACTTTGAGGACTAAAGTGCTTCTGAGCCACACCATGGTATTTTCAATCACCTCACGTACATGTGGAAGTTGGACACTGGCTAAGCAAGACCAAAGAATATATGTTTGAATTATGGTGTTGACAATATTGAAAATACCACAAATTTCCAAGAGAACAAGCAAATCTGGCTTGGAAAAAATACAGCCAGAGTACTACTTATGGGCAAGAATGGTGAGACTTCTTACATACTTTGGACAGGTCAGCAGAGACCAATCCTCAGAGAAAGACGAATACTTTGTCATGTTCGATAAAGTAGAGGGACAGCAAAAAAGAGGAAAGCTCTGAACAAGATGGATCGACACAGTTGGCTGCAACAATGGCTCTAGCACAGGAACAATTCTGAGGCTGGTGCAGGACTGGGCCGTGCTTCCTGCTATTGGGTATAGGGTTGTTATGGGTTGGAACTGATGATGTTGTTCCATGGTAGGGGTGGGGGAATTAGGTTATTCGCTTCCATCAAGATTTTGGCAACCTTATGAGTCAGAATTGATTCAATGGCCGTGGGTTTACTAATTTACTAATTATGAAGTCCTTGGATCCACAATTAACACTCATGGATGCAGCAGTCAAGAAATCAAACAATGTATTGGGCATATCTGCTGCATAAGACTTCTTCAAAATGTTGTAGAGCAAGGATGACACTTTGAGGACTAATGTATGCCTAAGTTGGACATTGGTTAAGGAAGATTGTAGAAGAATGGTTACATTTGAATTATGGTGTTGACAAAGAATATGAAAGTACTATAGACTGCCAGAACAATACACAAATCTGGCCTGGGAGAAATATATAGTCAGTGTGCTCCTTAGTGGAGAGCAAATGTTTTGAGAATGTAACAAGTGTACAAATGCGCTTTATACAATTGATGTGTGTGGATTATGATAAGAGCTGTATGAGCCCCTAATAAAATGATAAAAAAAGAAAAATGAAAAGCAAAACAAAGCAAACTACTTTATGTTAGAGACAGACTAAAGGTTTTCCCGTTCAAAAACAAAACAAACAAACAAAAAGAAGTGAGGATGGCAAACTTCCTCTCATGTACTTAGAAAATGTTATCAGGATAGCCCAGTCCCTGGAAAGGGGGATCATGGTTAGTAAGGTAGAGGATAAGTGGAAGAAAAAAAATGAAGAGCCTCAATGGGATGGATTGACACAGTGGCTGCAGCAATGGGTTAAATATAACAATTGTCAGGATGACACAGGAGTGGGCAATGTTTTTGTTCTGTTCTTCAGAACCAAGGGAGAACAGAACAACAGTCAGATTCCAGGGCACCTAACAACGACGACAACAACAAAGCATCATATACTCCAGGAACTTGTCCCTCCTGTGTAGGGGACAAGCATCCCCATAACCGAATGAATCCAAGGGGCAGTTGTATAATTGAGGGGTAAAAAGACATCAGACAAGATAAAGCATGCAGGCTTACCTTTGCAGTCATGACTTCATGACCCAGGTCTGTGCAGAGAGAGGCAAAATGTAATCTAGGTCATGCAGGCTTTCACAAGCACATAGGTAACAGGAAGGAGCTGTACAATAAGCATATATGTAACAAGAGGGGGACTTGTTGGTGTACATGCAATAGGAAGGGGAGGTACTAAGGGCATACATGTGACAGGAAGGCACAGATGTCACAAATGGGTGGGCTCTAGAATCAAGATGGCAGCCCAATCTTGGTCTTCTGTGTTGGTTTGACTTTAGGCTTCTTTGCCCTCTCCTTCAGGGGAACAATCCATTATCCTTATCTGAAGGGAGTGGGCCCTACTGTGGGACAGATAATAGGGTACAATTACTTTAGATGGCTGACAACCTTCAGAGATAACCTTCAAGCAGTTGACCTCCAAGTGTATAGTCAGTGACCATGTGTTTGCAAACAGCACCTTAAACTTGGCATTATTATTGAGCAGGGGGGAAGGGGCATTCTGGGGAATAACTTTTATGAATCTCCAACCCACGAACATGAAGGTTTCCTCCACGGAATCCTTAGCCTCCCAGACTATGCCACGTATGAATGTGAGTTTGTCCACATACACTCTCTTCCTGGTTCTGTGTCCCACACTGCTGATAACATGTCACAAAGAACCAAGGCAGCAGGTGAAAAACACAACAAACTCTGGACACAAAGTCAGTTTTCTACTAAAAATGAGTTTCCTATCTGGCGCTTTTAGAAAGTTACATGTCTACGAATATGCCATATTCTCCTAAGAGTGTCGTGGCTTGAGTACATGTGTTCATGTATATTAAATATTTACTTTAATATACAGGGCTGTGCTGGGTGTTCATTCTATCAATAACAATTATTACTATCTATCCTCAGAAGGAACATGTAATTCAGGAATGAAGCTGGCTAGATATTCCAGCCTCCAAGATAAGGCGTGGAAATTGAGATACGAAAGGTCCATTACTGGAGTTCAAATTGACAATACCCACGGCGCGCCCCTCACTCAAATCACCCCCTCCTTGCCTCCAGGGTTGCCCACCGGGTCGAGTCGATCCCACTTCCCGGAAGGTAAACACATCGAAAAAGGCGGGACAGTAGGCGGGTTCGGGATGAGTGACTAGTTAAAGTGATTGGCAGCTGCCATGTCCACGTGTTTTGAACGTCGAACCAGCTGTCGCGAGAATTCGATGTAAACAGACCCGTTCTCCGTGCCTCCGGCTCTCGCCCTGAGGCACTCAGACTGTACACACGAGTCTGGAGCAAAGTGGATTTCGTGAAAACGCCACGAACGTGCCGTCGGAGAAGAGAACGGGCCTGGCTCGAACGCCTCCCTGCCTGCCTGCGGTCGCAACCGAACGTGACAACCCGGCTTCGCGAACCTACAGACTGCTGTGTTTTCCTCCCAGCGTGAGCAGATTGGCTGGATTCAGGAGGCGGGTCCGCCTCTTTCCTACTTGCTGGTTGGCGAAACGGACCTTCAGGGGCGGAGCCCAGTAAGCCTGTTTGCTCCTGGGATTGGTTACGAAGGCAGTTCCGCCGAGGCGTGGTAGGAAGTAGTCGCTGTCAATCACGGAGGGGGTGGGGGAAGACTCCAAACACTGAGCCTGGAGCTGGAGGAGAGCGTTTACCGGCGGGCGGCGGGTGAGAGGGCTGGTGGGGCTCTGCCGTGGGGAGGAGTGGGGGGGCGGGCGGCTGGGCGCGGACGAGGGGCGGGCTTGGCGGGCGGCATTCGATGGGGGAGAGGGGTCGAGATTGGAAGCGGGGGGAAGGGCGAGGGGCCAGAGGGCGGCCGTGGGGGCAGCGGTGGCTCCGCGGCGGAGGTGAAGTGAGTAGTGTTGTGCAAAGTGTCTTTCCGGCAAGTCGGGCCTGAGGGTCGTCCTCAGGGATGGGACCTTTACACGACAGGGCTTGGGAGACTGGTTCGGGAAAGGAAGGGTGGAGTGGAACTGAGAGGACGGAGCGACTGGGAGGGAAGATGCCCACTGAGGAAGGGTTGCTGGGCTCTTATTGTTAGGTGTTAGCGAGTAGGTTCTGACTTAGAATGAAACACTGCCTGGTCCTGAGCCCTCCTTAGAATCGCTGCAATGTTTCGATCCATTGTTGCGGCCACTGTCAAGCCTTAGAGTTGAGGGTCCTTATTTTTTCTGGTGATTCCCAAGCGTGATGGTCCCTCGTGATAAGGTGTTCTAAGTATGTGAGACAAAGTTGTGCCACCCTAGCTTCTAAGGAGCATTCTGGTTGTACTTATTCCAAGAGAGATTTATTCAATATTTTTTGCCAGCACCATAACTCAAAGGCATCAATTCTTTGGTCTTCCTTAGTTTTTGTCATACTTGAGGCAAAAGGTGTTTTGAGTTGAAGGAGATGGGGTTCCCCACTCTTAAGAGTTTCCAAGTAAAGGCGACAGAATGTTTCCTACATGGAATGATGACTTGCGGAGCTTTTAAGATTCCAGGCTGCAGGCTCGCCTGAGCCCTGTCAGAGATCAATATCGCTATCAGTCTTTTCACCTTAACTGAGTAGACTCTCTTTAGACCCTTTAAAAATTCCAACTACTCAGATGCCAACTAGACATTAAAGGATCAGGATTGAGTGATGTGATGGGCAAGGATAAGGCACTTCAAAGTTTTTATTTAGACTGGGTTTTTATTTTATTGGGTTACAATAGCAAGAAGTTAAAAATACTGACAATCTTAACTACTGGACTTGCTGTCTTATTTATGGATTTTCAACACTTTTCAGCAGAAAGGTAGAAGTGGGATCATTGTTTATTTGTGTGTGTGTGAGTTCAGGAGACTTATATAAATGGGGTATTGTCGATTATTAAAGTGCTGTGCCTTGTCCAGTTTCATGATCTCAACATAAACGTTCAGTAACCAAATTTTGGATCACAAAGGCAGCACAGTTATTTTCATACTGTGAAAAACTTTCCAAGACTTTTAAAAAAAACTTTATTTCTAAATAAACGCTTGTTTTATGTGAACAATAGACGAAAGGGACCATCAAGAATCTAAAAAATTTTTTTTTTAGTTTTGAGACCTGGTCTTATAAGCAAAACCTCAGGGTAATGTGAAAAACAAAAATGATCTACGTACTTCCTCTTGCACCGGAGTAATAGGAATTGCTGGGAAAATTACCTAGATTTAGGTACTCTCAGATAAAGTTTTTAGCCCCCTTGACCTAGTGCTTATACATTGGACTGCTAAACACCAGGTCAGTTCAAAAACTACCAGCTGCTTGTTGGGAGACAGACTAGACCAGTGGTTCTCAACCTTCCTCATGCTGCGACCCTTTCATACAGTTCCTCATATGGTGGTGACTCCCAACCATAAAATTATTTTCCTTGCTACTTCATCACTGTCATTTTGCTACTGTGATGAATTGGGCGACCCCTTTGAAAGGGTCGTTTGACCCCCAGAGGGGTCTTGACCCACAGGTTGAGAACTGCTGGACTAGGTGTTCTACTCTCATCAGTGGTTACAGTCTCAGAAACCCAAAGGGGCAGTTGTACCCTGTCCTGTAGGGTCGCTTGGAGTCAGAATTGGCTCAGTGACAGAGCGTTTGATTTTCTTGAGTAAGCAGCCATAGTATTTTCACACCCAAATGAACCATTCTCTCTTCTGTGCACAGGTTTTATGAATGAAGCTATGGCTACAGATTCTCCTCGCAGACCCAGTCGCTGTACTGGTGGTGTTGTGGTTCGGCCTCAGGCTGTCACGTAAGTACATTTTAGATGACTCCAATCTTTTGAAGAAAGTATTATTCAGCATGCCAATACTCAGTTTTCCTTTCTCAATGCAGTTAATTAGTTTTGCAAGGCGTGTGTGTGTGTGTGTGTGTGTGTGTGTGTGTGCTGACATGAGCACATTTTGTAAGAAGTTTTAAAATTTTGCCTTTACAAGATGAATAAATATCAGTGTCAGTGCTACATAACATAACTGGATGGATAAATCAATATATTTTGCACTTTGAGAGAGTGCATGGAAGTACTAAATCTTAGAGAAGAGTTGTTTAAACTACATGCAATGCATTGTTGAGTTAGTAAATCAATTTAGTGTGTCTGGATATGTATTGAAAAATGGATAAGAAGTTAGTGGTTTGGTGACACATATTCATATATATATATGTATATACTTACTAGATTATGATGTAAAATATATTTCTTTTTCTGGGTCTCTGAAAGTATATCTTTTTATATTTGAGACATTCCTTGACATCTAAGAACTGAACATCTATTGTGGTCTTAAGCTATTAAGTGCACTTGAAATCACTATAAAAAACAGCAAAATCATTCACTCACAGTCATCGAGTCAATTCCGACGAATAGTGACCCTACAGGACGGGGTAGAATTGCCACTGTGAGATTCTGAGACAGTAACTTGTTAAGGGAGTAGAAAGCTCATCTTTTTCCTGTGAAATCACTATAATCTGTAAAAAGAGATACTAATAAATGGCAGGAGAATTTAGGAGTATTTTAGTACAGATATCAGAAAATGTTTTATTAAGAAGGTAAAATTTGTTTTCTATCTTTAAAGACTGAACAGAATTTGGACACTTCAAATCAAGGGTACATTTTAGGCTAAGATAATGGAGTGAATACAGTTGGAAAAGGCAGGCTATTTTCTTAAAATCAGTGGTTTTCAACCTTCCTAATATGACAACCCTTTAATACAGTTCCTCATGTTGTGGTGACCCCATATGTGGGCATATCTGCATGTGGGCCGACCCCCCCGGAGGCAGAGGAGCAGTGTCTCAGTTCCTAGACCATTGGAAATATAGTCTTAGGTGACCCACAGGTTGAGAACCACTGTCCTAAATGAAATGAAGCTGAGAGGTAGGGAAGTTGTTCTATTTAAGGCAGTTTAGAGTGAAGAGTTATGATAACATTTGTTTATGCCTTTTAGGATGCTCTTAAAGGATTGTAGCATTTTGGATCATTTCCAGTGTGCAGTTTAGCCTGTTTAAGATCGCCTTCTCAGACTATATATACAATATAGTTTACTATATTAATACTGCCTTTTTTTCCCTCCTGTACTTACTATATTTCTTTGAGTTACGTGCTATTTTTAATCTTCATTTTGTAGATGAAACCAAAGTAGAGGAAGAGTAAGTTGCACTTAGTCACATAGTCAAGAAATATAGCTGGTCAGATGCAGACAATTGGGCTCTAAACCCAGACAAGGATTCCAGAATTTGTACTCTTAATCACTGCTCTGTGTTGCTTTCAGCATATGGTATTCAAAATGTATTGCATCTTGAAAACAAAACATTTGTATTGTATTGCATTTTGATATGAAGTATGTAATTGTAGTTTTAAAAAATTGTTACTCATGCAGCATTTTAAAAACAATTCCATGTCTAAACATTAGCTTGTTGATTCTGGAGATACACTGGTATACGTGAGAGATGGATTCCTTCCAGTATTGGAGTTACATTTCAGGGTGGGAAACAGTAAATGGGTAAGTAGATAAAAGTAGTTACAGGTGCTAATCAGGGCACAGTATGCCAGGATGGGATGACAGGCTGCCAGCAAGCCTATCTGAAGTAACACCTAAGCTGGAGATTCGCACGGAAGACTATGGAAGAGAACAGTCCAGACAGAAAGCAAGCTGGTGTAAACATTTTCATTCAAAGAAGAGAGAGCTTGGTGTATTTCTGGAACTGAAGTTGCCTGAAACTGTAAATAAGACTTAGGACAATGTATTATCTTTTTCAAATGTACTTTTTAACATTTCCCTGAAATGCATTTGATTAGGTATTTTGATGAAGTTGTTTTTCTCCACTTGCTGGTATTTCTATGCTCTCCATCTATTTAGAATGAAGTAACTTAGTGTCCTTCTCACTATTATTTTCTCTTCCTTGATGCATTTTGATACTTTCCCATGCCTTGCCTACACCAAAAATTCTATGAAGACTTTTTAATAACTCGCTCTAATGCCTTATCTGCAGTAAAAAATAAGTTCATCTTTCTACATATAGGGAAGGGACTGGGTTCATATCCAGAGTAAAGGGAAGAGTGCTAAATACTGAGTCATCAATAGTTTTGGAGGTATTCTTATGCCCTGACTCAGGAGGGAACGCCCTGCCTTAGTCAGGTCTTCTGTCATAATTCCTTTAAGTATGAGAAAGGTGTTAAAAAATGTTAAAACATAATTTGCATTTAATAATGTCACAAAGATGCGTGGCACCGAAAAGCAGATAAGCAGATGGTAAGAACAGGCCTCTTTTTCCTTCTTTCAATTTGTAATCAGTATGGTATAGAGAATGGCATATGTTTTGGTTTCTCTTAAGCTGCCAGGATCATCTTTTTCCATTTCATCCTTTTCCAGAGAGCAGTCCTACATGGAAAGTGTTGTGACATTTCTACAGGATGTTGTACCACAGGTAAGTATCTGTGCTTGCAGTGCTGCATTTTCAGATAGGCTTTCCATATTTTAGCATCCTGCGCATTTGTAGAGTGGAACTGTACTTGTTATTGGGTAGCCATGCCTCAGTTTTGTGCCGGCTGGGCACCGCTGATACTCCTGAGGAACAGGGGCAATGTTAGTTGAGAGATGTGACCTGGGGTTCTCTGTTGTTGGTTTCTCTTGAGCCAATTTGGACACAGTGACCCCATGTGACAGAGTAGAACTGTCCTATATTGTTTTCTTTGCTGTCATCTTTACAAGAGTAGATTGCCAACCAGTTCTTTCCTCCTCTGGAGCTGCTGGATAGGGTCAAATCCCCAATCTTTTGTGTTAGCAAGGCTGAGATGCTCCAGATAGGTTCTATTTCCCAAATGATTCTCTTTCTCCTGTCTCAGTTCAGATTGCCTATCTCGAGTGAGAAAAACAACATGAGTTGTACATTTTATTAACTGTGTGTTTTATTTGGGAGCCTATCTCTCCTTTCATATCCAGCCGTATTTTTGTGCTAAACACTCCTAAAAACTCCAACTTATTTTCCCATTGGTGACTTCCATATATTTTGTAGCCTGGTGAAAATTAAGGTAGTTGTTTTAAAATTGAATTATATATATGTGTGTGTGTGTGTGTATTTTACATTTTAACTCCCATAAAGCATTTTTCCCATTAGTTGGGTAAGCTTTTGATCACTTTAGTAAAAGTTGAGTGCATAGCCCTGAGAGAGTAAGCTCCTGATTCTTCTTCGTATCAATGTGAGAATGAAGCACAAGGCAGCCCTCCTGGGACCATCTCTAGCTCATTGTTGTCTCAACTTAAGTATCACTTGGCACACTTGTTTTAAAAAAGCACTTTTCAAGCCCCTCTTGTGGACAGCCTGACTCAGTAGATTGGTGGTGGCATCCAGTGACTTGTGTCTACAGTAAGGGCCCCAAGTAACACCAGTAAAAGAGAATCGGGGGGAAATCCTGTTCTAGTGGAACTCCACCTGTGGGTGGAGGTGGGGTGGGGTTTGGAGCTTTTCTCCTTCGTGGTAATGATTGTGTCCTCTTTGGTGTCTCTAACTACCTGCTGGAGAAGTGACAATCATAGTTCCAATACCCTGGCTTTCTGGGAGAGTCTGAGAAAAGCAAAAATGATGTCTTTCAGTTGTATTAAACAGATTGTATTTCAATTATATTAAACAGTTGTACATCAAATCAGGAAAACCATTAAGGAATGTTGGTATTACTATGTTCAGTCAACTCTGATGAAAATAGGCAGGCCATAATGCTAAGATCTGTGGTGCATGGAAGGAAAAGCAAACGTTTTCCTCTCGGCTCAATTCAGATGGTTTGTGCCCTATTAGTAAATATTAGGACTGATCATACAGACTGAATATTTAATTGCTAAGAGAATGCAGAGAGAAGAAGTGAAAGACTTCCAAGGAGGTTAGCAGTGCCATTAGTTGAAATGAATGGACAGATTGGCTATTTGCTATAGAAGGAAACTGGTTAGTTGGATAAGGTCAGCAACAGGGCGACCAGGGTTTTGGAGCACATTGTTTTCTACATAAAGAATACAATTGGGAATTCAAATCCAACTTGCTTTCCTGTACAAGGTGCTCTCCGCCCTTAAGCCCGGATCTTGTCTTGAAGCTGCAACTCCAGGAAGGATCCTTTTTTGGTAATGTGCCTACTCCTACAGGGCCCCTTTAATGAAGGTGCACAAAGGAACCCCCTTTTTTGGTGTCATACATCTATTTGTATTTTCCACCATGCCAAGTGCGGTGTCTGCTGCAAAGGAAGTATTAGAACGAACAAATGTGATTTATATGAATAATTGTTCCATTTGCCCAGGATCTAATTCCCTTTCTACACCAAATCAAAATCTTTATCTCTCAGCTGCCATAGATCACTATCATTACAAAGGAACCTTTTGTGCTCGTGGTCAGCCTGTGTTGCAAGCAGTCCTTGCTAGTCAGCAGAGTGCAGCTGTGGTCAGAGGCTTTGAGAGGGTAGTTGGGGATGGGAGATGTCCTAGACCAGGGGTTCTCAGCCTTCCTCATGCCACGACCCTTTAATACAGTTCCTCATGTTGTGGTCACCCCCAACCATAAAATTATTTTTGTTGCTACTTCATCACTGTCATTTTGCTACTGTTACGAATCGGGCAACCCCTGTGAGAGGGTCGTTTGACCCCCCAAAGGGGTTGCAGCAACCCACAGGCTGAGAACCACTGTCCTGGACGCCAGGACCTAGAGGAACAAGAATACCAGATTGAGGAGTTTCTGGTAGGTAGAGAATAGGGGACTAAAACTAATATGGTGAAAATCTTGGTAACTAGATTAATTTAATTAGTTGATTCCAACGCATAGGGGCACCATACAGGATTTCCGAGGCTGGCAGTCTTACAGAAGCGGACAGCCGTATCTTTCTTCCTTGGAGTGGCTGGTAGGTTTGAACTACTGACTTTGCTGTTAGCTGTCCTGCAGAAGGCTCATAAATGGGCTGTTAATATACTCTGAAGATTTGGATTAGAGTAGTGATTATGGGTGTAAAGTTATAGATTTTCAGATTTATATACCTGTCCATTGTATGCAGATGCTTATTCTAGTAGTTGGTGTAGAAAGCAAGCAAGATTTCTGGCAGTAACCAGTGAGTTGAACGCTCATTATGATCAGGCACCATGCTAAATTCGGAGGCTACACTGTGCTGCTGTAGAGGTCTAGTACAAGGATGGGCAGCCTTTTTCTGTAAAGGGCCAGACAGTAAACATCTTAGGCTTTGTTGTTCATAAAATGTCTGCGGGCGTGGTCTTGGTGATGTGCCTCACATTCGATCTCTGGCTCCTAAGGCTGAGCTCAGACTGACCCTACTCAACCATCTCGTTTTATACTGTTCTGACGACAACTGGCCTCCCATAGCTCTCTGCTGTACAGCTGGGTTCTTTATAGCAGTGGTCACACAGAACTCACAGATAATGCTCATGATTATGAGGTTTATTAGGGAAGTTAACAGGTTACAATTTTGGTGGCCCTTCAGCCTCTTAGCCTAGTCTCTGGGAGGCCTGATAGTGTAGTGGGTTACATGTTGGACTGCTAACTACAAGATCATCAGTTTGAAACCATCAGCTCCACAGAAAAAAATGAGGCTAGTAAAGGTTTATTGTCTCGGACATCCACAAGGGCTGTGCTGCTCTGTCCTACAGGTTCGCTGTCAGCCAGAATCAACTCAATGGCAGTGAGTTTGGTTGTGCTTTCTGTTCTGTTCAGGCAACACTACAAAGCTCTTTAAGGGCTATCAATAAATGCCCAAAGGACATTCCACTCAACCTGAAAGCTTTAAGCTCCAGCTCAATTTATCAGCAAACGAATTCCCCCATTAAGTTTCTGGTGGTAACCCACTCCACAAGCCAGCCTTCTGCCCCAAAGATCTCAGCTTTACTTACTCGTGGGCTGCTAGTCCATTGCTCTCTCTCAGGCTCTGATTGCTGGTTCTGTTCTTGCTGCTCATCTTGTGTCAAAGCTGTCTTCTAGATTAAAGAGATGGATGCACAGGGATCTTGAGGTCCAAAGGACATGCTCCATTCTTGGTTCTTCCCTCTTCATGGTAGTGAGGGAAGCTGCTTCCCTCTTACTGGTAGCAAGAGAGCTAGCCCCCTTCTGCTTCCAAGATGGCTGATTTTATACCCGGCAGGTTGGCAATCACAGTTAACCTTGTTTACAGTCACTCACAGCTGAATCAGATAATCCAATTGATGTCTTTTCCTACCTTCTTAAATAGGCCCACTCATTAGGAAAAGGAAGGCCCTTTGTTGGGAGTAACAAAGGCAATGGCTAGAAGGGCCATATTAAATAATTAACTGCATTGCAATGTCTATCACAGCTACTTAACTCTGACTTTTATGTAAAGATGGGCATAGTTATGTTTCAGCAACACAGATGGTGGACTGGATTTGTTGATTCATGATCTAATAGACTTAACTAAATGGCCAGTGTGGAGTCAGACACACCACACTAAAGGGATAAGCAAAATTCCACAGTACCATATTGTGTTGTTAGTTGCCATCCAGTTGTCTCCCACTTATGACAACCTTATGCATAACAACATAACCTTTCTTGTTTGGTAATATTGTGATTGTTGGTGTGTTTGATTCTATTTTGATTACTTTGTTAAGCCATTTCATTGGGGGGTGTTCTCTTGTTTTCTTTGACCCTCTGCTTTAGAGGAAGGATAATGAAGTTTAGTTGGGGGGACTTCAAAGAAAGCTCTGAGAAAGGGATGCCATTTGAACCATTCGGAGCAGAACCAGATCCAAGGTTGACATTTGAGAGAATGAGATGGAGGCTGTGGGATTACCATAGGTGCTTACACATTTGACAGATAATTTGCACATCAGGTTTAGAGTAGTTTAAAAATTAAGAGCACATACTTGGCGTTAGATCTGGCTTTATATCCCAATTCTACACCTTACTCTAGTTCTGGAGAAGTTACAGAACCCCTTTAAATAAATTTAAGTGGATATTAAATTCTATTTCGAAGAGAGCAAGAAGAGGCTGGAATTCTAGGGCCAGAGATGCAGGTTTGCTGCTTATAATTAATAATTGAGATAACCAGATGAGGCAGCGATTCTAAGTGTCATGTCCAGACAGGCGCTGTAGGAGCTGCTGATATATTTTGCTTAGGAAAGCAACAGGAGTAATTTTTAAAAATTACACATAACATTTTCTTTAATGTCTGGTTGATATGAGGACAGAACTTTCTAAGATAATCCTTAAATGTTTGAAATTTTGCATTGGTACTGTGAAACCTACTATTTGGAAAGTGACATTTTCTAACTTCTGCTTGGTTCCGGAAGCCAAAATCTTGATGCCTAGAAATTGTTTCCAGGGTCTCTGAGAATTACCCTGAAGAGAAAGGGGTTGTTGACCTGGACTCAGTTTCTTCAGCTGTGGCAATGGAGTTGCACCTCACTGCGGTCACCCGGTAGCACTGTTGGCCCCTAGAAGCTCATAGGACCCTGTAGGACAGGGTCGAACAGTCCCTGGAGGGTTCGGAGATTGTAACTCTGTACACGAGTAATGAGCCTTGCTTTTATCCCATGTACTCCACAGGGCTCCATAAAGAAGCCTTGGGTTTAGTTAGTAATTGTTTTTTTTTTTATTTTGGCACATACACCGTGGTAATATAAGATTAGAATACTCTGGATAATAAACATTAAGGGGAACTGGGTGAGTGGTATATCAGAGCTCTCTGCACTATATTTGCAGCTCTTCTGTAAATCTAAAATTAGTCCAAAGTAGAAAGTTTATCTCAAAAATAGCTTGTCAGACAGGAAGGGTGTATGACCAAGAATAAAGATGAGGGTAAGGAGACTGAGGCTGAAGCTCATGAATTCATTGGTTTTCGTTTGAATTGGAATCGACTTGATGGTAGTGATGGATTTTTGTTTTAATTTTGAGTATAGAGTCGCTGTGAGTCAGTGATTTGGGTTTTCTTGAGAACAGGTTTTTTGTCTTCTCACACGTTTTTACAAAGACGTGAAATACAGGCTGTATTGTGGTTTGAGGTGGGGGCGCCAGCCCCCAACCACTAATCGTGGATTTAATTAGCACAATTATACGATATTAGAGTCATCGAAACCATGAGAGGTAGAGGAGAGATTGGAATAATGGAGTCAGACACATTTCATGGTAGCATTGCTCGCCTCAGCCCCGCTTAGTGATCCACATGGAGAGAGGGGGAAGGGAAGGAGGACAAGGGGAAATGGAACAGAGGAGAGGGAGCCAAGAGAGTGAGGGGGTGAGAGCCCTCTCTGTTGCTAACCCAGGCCTATACACCTTTTGGGGACGTGCAAGCCAACTGATTACAGGTAAAGACATACGGCACAGGAAGGAGTTGCACTATAGGTTATACAGCAATGAGAGGGGGTGGTCTAGGGACATATGTGCAATAGGAAGAGGAGGGGTTGGAGGTCTGACCTCCCCCCACACTGTATAAGATCATTTTTTTGTATAACTTCACCATCATGTCCTATGTGACATAGGGAGTTATACAATCGACCTTGCTTAGTACATTATGGAAGCTGATAGGACATTCAAAGTAGATGATATCAACACTTAAATATATGGTTATACAATTGATCTTAAACAATTGATATAAACACTTAAATGTCCAGCTACTAGCCAAAAGACTGGTAGTCCAAGTACAATTGGAAGTGTTTGTAAGAAAGATTCGGCAGTTTACTACTAGAGGATCACAGCCATTGAAAGCACCAGGGAACAGAATGCTCTGGCACCTGGCCATGGAGCTTCCCTGAGTGGGGGTTGCTTTGATTTCAGGTAGAATGGGAAGAGGCTCTGCCTTGGGCAGTGCAAATGCTTAGTGTCCTTGACTCCTTGACTCTTCATAATAACGTTGGCAGTTTGACTATACTCAGAAATGCTTCAAGAAGAAGGCTTGCCAATCTACTTCCAAACATGCAGTCATTGGAGCACAATTTTAATCTGACACACATGGGGTCACCATGAATTGTAGTCAACTCAGAGGCAATCTATTTGGTTTGGGGTACAGCGTAAATTGTTTATGGGATAGTAGTGCTTGTATGTTGTTGATACACAAAGAAAAGTCAAACTCACAGCCATCAAGTCAAGTCTGGCTCACAGGACAGGGTAGAACTGCCCATGTGTGTTTCTGAGACTATTATAACTCTTTATAATAGTGGAAAGTGTCATTTTTCTCCCTTGGCATGGCTGGTGGTTTTGAACTGCTGACCTTGCAGTTAGCAGCCCAACTAATTACCCACTATGCCACCAGGACAGTTTGTGATATTATATTTTGAGATTGTATGTTGCTATACTACTATATTTCAAATGGCAAAAGCAGAGTCACTTATGATGGACAGGTCTTCGCAGAACTTTCAGATGAAGATACAATCTGAAGAAGGTCTGGTGGTCTACTTCTTGAAATTAGCCGATGAAAACTCCATATATCATAACAGAGTGTTGCCCTTATGGTGCTGGAAAGCCAGTCCCTGTACCTTAGGAGATATTTGAGATACACAATGATATCACCAGTGGTCTCCGGCATACCAATAGTTAGGAAGATGAAACCAGACCGGTCAATAGTTTTTCTGTTGTATGGGGAGAGTTGCTGCGTGAAGCTTCTATGAGATGAAGTTTCACTCATCTGTACAATTTAGGGCTGATTTAGTTGTTTGAGTACCTTTGGGTTGCAGTGGCACTTCATATAGACTGTGTGCGTTGTATTGTAGGGTTCATGCCATTGAGTTGATACCGGTGGCATCATGTTTATGTGTTGAGCTATTAACTGCAAGGTGAGCAGTTTGAAGCTGCCAGCTGCTACACAGCAGAAAGAGGGGGCTTTCTACTGTGTTATAAAGAGTTATAATCTTGGAAACTCACAGGGGTCAGTTCTACCCTTTCCTATAGAGCCACCATGAAATAGAGGCTTAGCAATCCTTAATAGATTAAAAACTTAATTTTGTTTCAGTTAAGGCTATTGGTGTTCGGTCAGAGCCATGGATAACTTTTTTGGAGAGTAATATTCTTCTGAAATGTGTAATGCCACAATTCCAGGGGCCGTGAAATTGGAGAGGGGTAGGGTTGACTCATTTCAGTTCCTCGTTGTTTTGGAACATTAAAGCTGAAATGTAATTCTGTTTATTTATATTTATATTTGAAAAATAATTTTATTTAAACGTTTCTGTTTACAGGCTTACAGTGGAACACCTCTAACAGAAGAAAAGGAGAAAATAGTCTGGGTCAGATTTGAAAATGCAGATTTAAATGGTATGGTATTAACTTTCTTGAGGACATAGGAATTGCATGTTTGGGGATGACCTGGTTCCAAACGAAAACTCTTGCTTTAGTCAGATTATTCATTTTCAAAATAAGTTTGTTTATTTAGAATTCAAAGGTAACAATCACATTATAAGAATTTCACTGGCACTAGTAGTATGTTGTACATGCCTTAAAGTAACTTTAAGAGTGCTTAGCTTTAAACATTAAGTTGAAGTAAGTTAAGGGTTTCTGAGAAATTATTCATTCAACTTTTGTTGTGGTATTTATAACTGCAAAATAATTATTGGTGTTGAACTGGGCTTTGAGATTGTTTTTTTTTTCTGAGTAGAATTCATGCCAATCCAGTGCCTGTGTATTCTCAGAAACACTCCAATGGAATTCATTAGAGTGTGATTAACCTACCTGAGGAGTGGAGTCTTGGTGGCAGAGTGGATTATAAGTTAGGTTGCTAACCACAGGGTCAGCATTTTGAAACCACCAGCTGCTCTGTGAAAGAAAGATGGGGCATTCTTTTCCATAAAGAGCTATAGTCTGAGAAACCTACAGGACCAGTTGTCCTCTGTCCTAGAGGGTCTTAATAACAGTGAGGCTTTTTTTTTTTTTTGGAGGAAAGGTAGTGTTGGGGACCCTGGCGACATTATGGTTAAGTGCAAGGCTGCTAGCTGAATGGTTGGTGGTTTGAATCCACCCAGTAGGTCCATGCGAGAACCTGGAGATCTGCTTCATTGCAGATTACAGCCAAGAAAACCCTATGGGGCAGTTTGATTGTCATATAGGGTTACAGTGAGTTGGAATTGACTTGATAACACCCACCCACAGTGGTATCATGGTACCTATTCTTTCCACCTTTAAGCAGGTTCATTTATGTCTATTTTTTTAAGTTTATGATTTATAGTTTATGTCTTTGAGCTGCAATGCTGAAAAGTGTGTAAGAAGTAACCACAAAGTAGTTCAATATTCTGACGTTTTATTTTTTAAACAAAATTCTCTATAAGTGAGAGTACAGTCTGTTTCAAGATACATCCATTTTATCAGCTGGTTTGCTACAATATAACAATATGCCTACTTTAAGTTTGTAAGGGTTACCATCTAATCTGTCCTACTTGGTCAGTTCCAAGATTAAAGTCTGAATTGTACTTCTAGTGTCAGTTTTTATACCCAACAGGTTTTTTAGAATTTCCAGTTCCACGTGATTGCTTTAAATAGGATTTTTTTTCTTCTTAAATTTTCTTACAGGCCTGAAAGGAGCAAGGGCTTCATACATTTAGTCTGTTTCCATTTCCTGTTTCTCTTTCTGAGTGTGTTAGACAGGGTTCT